CATTTTGGCTTTCCATAAATTACCGTTATATGGCGTGCCGGCGTGACTATTGTCCTTTTTCAAAAATTTTCAACCATTTGCTATGTTGTACCAAGGCAATAACTATGCCAGTTTAAGTAGAAATTGGTAGATCGGTTACCGAGATATATACATATATGTTACAATAAGTGGGCGGGGCTACACACATTTTCCAAATTTATAATATTCTTATATTCCGCAAAGAGATCAATATCATTTTTAATAATTTAGCTTTTGTAGCTACTAAAATATCGCAGTTTATGTATTGGCAATTACCGTTACATGGGAGGTAGGCGTGATTATTGTCCGATCTTGCTTAATGAAGTACCTGCAAACTTTTTGCCAAAATTTCTTCTTATATCGCAGCGAAGCTGTATCAAGCAGAGTGGAAAAGTCAGGTGAACCACGTGGCATGAGTAACATATCGATGGTGGATAGTAAAATTAAAAACAACGGCAACACCATCTCAGTGATCCCGAATACTACTAACTGGTACTTTATGTAAAGCTTATGTAGATACTACTAAGTACGTATGTACATATATACATTAGACCGTACCGAAAAAAAGTTTGACGTACACTCCCGAAACCTAAGTATTTTGATAAGGCAATTTTGATAAGAAAATTTGTTTGGCCAGCGTAGTCGGATCTTAAAATATAAAGCATATCGTCACTAGACACGAATAGAGGTGCGCCATTGTTTTGACGGCGAAAGAAAACGCGTACACACAGATTTATACCTAGGCAATGACTGTCACTTCAGCTTAATTTTTCCCCAAAACTCTTCGGGGAATGTACATACAATTACATAGTTGACCGCGAAAATAAGTTTACGCGTCCTAAAGTACCATCTTAACGTCAGTAAATTAAAACTCACCAAAAATCGTTAAAAAATTGGTAAGCATTTGGATTATTCCAGTAAAACTATTTAAAACAAAATTTATTGCCGAAAGTAGGTGTCACCGAAAAATATTAAAAGGCGACCGATAGGTTCCACCAAAAACTTTCTTTGCAAAAATACTTTAGACTCAGCGGTGAACGGCGAACTCTTTCTTTTGTTTGCTTGTAAGGTGGTGCGATCTAATGTATTGCACATACGTACATACATTTTGTCCTTTTTGTGCTTTCTCCCTCCCTAAAGCATTCACATGCAAATGTGCATTGGCCCATGGAATAGCATACATACATAAATATACATATGTACATACGTATGTATGTATGTATGCATGCGTGCTTTTGAGTTTTATTGTTTTTGAAATGCATTTGTTGTTGTTCCTAAAGATATGATGATGGCATTTTGTGGCATGCATGCTAACCGCTAGGGCAAACAATGGCGTCAAATTTATAAAAAGGTTCAGCATCAGCGATTCAAAGAATGTGAACAACAGCAACAATTGTGTCATAGGTTGAAGCAACTACTTAAAACATGGTCATGGTTTGAATGTAGTACATACGGTATCGGTCATATCTATAACACCTCATTTCAAAGTTATTTGTGTTTTCCCCTTATGTTTATTTATTTATATTTAAGAATTATCAGTTAAAATAATTTTCATTCTCTTACAAAAGCCATATAAACCCAAATTTCAAACTTTTTTCTCAGAAGTATTAGATTTTTACGGTTTTATAGCCTTTCAAGTTCAGTCTGATGTTGTGCAAGTTTTAAGTGGCTAAAAATTACAGTTGATTTCTTAGATGTTTTTGACGCATTAACTTTCATATAAAGAATAAACTTAATTTCATTTTATATGGAAGAAACCCGCAACACCTTCAGCGAAAAAAATTGTAAAAAATAAAGTACTTGTGCGAACATTTTTGAGGTTTTAAAAAGTTGCAAGTGTGGGTAAAGAAAAAAAAATTGTTTTACTATCAAACTTAATTTTTCAACATAAATAAAATGATTCAGCGATAGCTTATAATTTTAATGAATTTATTTCAGTATGCCCTATGGTTGTATGTTCATATAATGTACATTTTTTCTAAATCTGCTTATAAATGTGTATAAAAAGGAAATACATAGAAGTAGTTTCAAATACAGCCGAGAGAGATTGTGCCACTAGATTTCCCTACAGGGTATAAGAAACGACATTTTATATACATACTCATACAATTGCTTGCGTATATTTTTAAGAGGGATAGCTTAACTTTATTGTTTTACGCTACAATGGCATTGCATATTTTATTATGTACCTAACCAACTATGCTCACTTGTTCGTGCATATGTATGTATGCAAACCACCCTGCAGTAAAAAGCTGCACAAATTCCAGTTCATGAAATGCAGTGAAAAGTGAGTAAAAATACCAGTTCGTTTGCAGTTAATTACATTCCTCACAAATGTCGGCTGTGGCGTCGAATAAAGACTACCGATTCTGGTTATGAGATCCCAGCTGCGAATGCGCTTGGAGATGATTAAAGTAAAGTAAGTCAATTATTTCAATTTAAATATAAATAAAATTAAATAATTTTTGTTTCTTTTGAAAACAGCAAAATTTAAAAATTACAACAAAAGGCATAAATAAGAAATAAATGAATTACATAGAAAAATAAATAAAATACATTAAACAATTAAAAAAAAAAACATCCTCTACCTGTCGACTGTTGGATCGCCGCGAGCAAAATTGTATTTCTACTAGTAGACGCTGATGCATAGCCTGACAATTGACATCTCATAGGACATCGCCATGTTAAAAACAAACCAGTCGCTAACATTGAAAAATATATTTGGCTTAAACGCAAACTGGTAGCATTCTAGTTCGTAACTAGTAGCTTTCCCTGCAGGGTAGGTACTCATCTGCACAAATACGTATGCATATGTATATTTATTTTGCTGCTGCATCTCAAATGCGCATTCAAATTTAGTTAAGTAGAATATTTTTGTGGTAACTGAGATAAAAATCTGCAGTGATCCACAAATAGCAGCTTTTGCATTCAATCTATTTTTAAACTTGTTCAGCTTAAGATGACTTAATAGTTGGATTAGTAGTTGGGATGAGTACACAAAAGTAAAACAGCAAAATATACAAAAGTGTACTAGATTTAAATAATCACATCCAAATCTTTTCATAAGAAGAAAGTTTACAAGTAGTATTTTTCTAATCCGGTGTATACATATACTATACATACATAAGCACACACGTATTTATATACGTACATACGCATTTTGCGTTGATGAGCCATCCGTGATATATAAATAATTCACTCAGAAAAGAACTGTAGTACACTTTTTTTTGGGGGGGTAAGTAGTGACTTGCCCATAGGAACAGGAACACGTAGAAGCCAGCAAAAATTAAATTTTGATTTCAAATAAAATTACATCTAGGCCGATTTTAATGGCAGTCTACTAATTTTTTTATAAAATTCTAGCTCGTTATATAACAAACACTATATAAATCCGCTGTTGTGTAGTGGTAAGTAGTGCGCGCTTTCACTTCGCAGGGTCTGGGTTCAAGCCTGGGTTTTTTTCTTAACAGCGGTTAGCCCTCGGCAGGCAATGGCAAAGCTCCGGGTGTACTTCTGCCATGAAAACGAGATACACATTTGTGGTCAGAAAGGGATGGCGCCACGCTCATTATCCACAAATTTATAATAATCAAATTCTCTGAAAAGTGGTTATTGCAATAATTGATTTTAAGTTAATTAGCTTCAGTAGTTACTGATTTATCGTAGTTTTTGTGTTTCTGTAAATTACCGTTATATGGTAGTTGGGCGTGGT